TTCCCATGCTGCACACAAAATGTTTGAGTGAAGCAATTAACATGCATTCCTAGGTTGAGGTGTTACAGACAGCACAAGATGCAATTTTGAAAAGATAAGAAGTTTTTCCTACAATAGCACTAACACTGAGATTCAAGGATTATTCATTAGATGCCTTGAATGTCTGTAGCCCTGAAAATCAAGAGTTTTTTTATTTTTAAAATAGAAAAGAAAAGAAAACTTATATCAGATCCAAATAGAAAAGAGGTTCATTGAGGTTCATATTTAGTGGAAAGAAACCACGTTTAACATATATGGGGGATAGAGTTCAAGAAAAACCAAAAGAATGTCTCCACAAACGAACAAATGAGAATCAACCTAGTGTAATATAATTAACCAAAAAAAATTATTATGAATGCATAAAACATAAGTCTGTATTGTAAAATGAACATATAACAAGGTGAGTCTTCAACAAATTATAAGTGGTTTTCAAACAATCTGACAACTACCTGAGAGAACTGAGGGAGTTAAGGCATGAGATGCAAACATGATAAACACCGTTAAGCACTCAAACGAACCTATGCTATAATATAATAGATATTATTAGATAGTTATACATGCTGAGAATGTCATTGCTTGGGTTAAAATATAGCACATGTCTCAAATTCATTGCACTTAACGAAAGAGAATGCAAGTTTGTAGTTAATACAAGCATCTAAAAACCAACGCTCAGCAGAATTAAAGGGGAAGAAAGATGTGGCGACAGAGAGAGACGGAGCCAAGAGAGTTGAGAGAGAACACAATTTCTGAAAAAGTGGTATGGGTGCAATCAGTCAACAATAAAGATGTATTTATATGTGGTACGTAGTTTTAAAATTTTAAGGGAGGGGTGGTATTTTCAGAAAAAATTATAAAATGGGTGGCATTTTAAGCTATTTTCTTTCTTTTTTTATCCAAGGCTGTATTTTGCAACTTCGTTTTGCTATATTGTTTTTGCTAAGCAAATTTAAAATCGAACTTTAAATGCAACTTGTGTATGATAAGCTTTTGTACATATATAATTAAGAATCATTAACGCTTTCCTTTGTATATTTTGATTGGATATGCTGCACGCGGTCATGACTAATGAATGGGTTTCCCACACATGAGATGACCTTTGCTTATAGCTAGTGACCAAGACTTCCAGCTGCTTTTGCTTATATAATATATTTGGTGACAATCATGTTGATTATTCAAAACGAATTAGCAATCCTACAATGAGGTGAGGTAGGTGCCCAAAAAAAAAATATGAAAACATTAGTTGAGGTGAGGTAGGTGTTGAAAGCATTGTCCCGCATAGAAGTAATTTGCAATCCTCACATTATAAGAGTAGATGTAATTGCCCCCTGAAATTCATTTTGTTTTCATTCAACCTCATATATGAAGGTGAGAGTAGCGTACCTGAGAGTATGAACTTTTTGGATGAATATAGCCTCCAAGAAATTCCTGCAGCGCCTAAGAATCTTCCTGAATTTGAGGTTTGCTTTGCTATTGATGCCGATGGCATCTTGAGTGTCTATACTGAGGATAAGTACACTGGCCAGAAGAAAACGATCTCATTTAACCGTGACAAACCGAAGAAGGTTGAGGGATTTGAGAATCAAGATGAGGTAAGAAATGATAATCTATATAGTGCTATAGTAACATGGAAATAAGATATATTTATAAAATCAATTTGATATATATACAAAATCACACTTAAGTTATAACTGGTTAGTAAGTTAATACAACACTAACCACTCGTTTGGGTCCACTCCACAACGTCATCTCATGATATGAATTGTTCATTGCTTAGGTCGTCTCGTCATTCAAAGATCACCCTTGTAAAAAAATTAGTCTATGCACTTCAGCTATATCTTTTAATTGTTTTACTTGTACCAGGTTATATGTTGTTTTAAGATAAATCCAAAACTCCCACTCACCATCTCGGCTCAGATTATCAACGCAATCACTCTAATCTCTTCATCCATACCTAACCACGCTTCTCTGATGGAAACAAGTTCGTGAATACACAAGTAAACTAAGAGAGGATTACTTGTAAAAATAATAGAGTAATATTAGATGGCTTGGGGATTTGGTTTTCCACTTGGGAGTTTGGCGCACAGACATTGACCAGTGAGATGCTCATACATCACCAACCGATCGGTGATACATAGGTTTGAAAGGAAGTGGGTATATTAGATGAGCATGAGGGTATTATTTCAAAATATAGTGGGTGTATTATTTTAAAATAAATAAATAAATAACAAGGTGACATATCACGTTATCTCCCGACTAAAGTAAATAATCATTAACTAAGTGAGGATACATACCGTTAGGGGTGGTTGCGGTTCGGTAACCGCGAATTTTTGCCCAAATTACAAACTGACCGACTATTTGCGGTATGGTGATTTTTGAAACCACAAACCGACAAATTAGCGGTTTAAAACCGCAAGTTCTTTTTGTGTCATAAAAATCAAATCTTCCACATTTTAGGCCTAATTTTGATGCTTCTTTTGAAGCCTTTTGATTTCAAACATACTTTAACCCAAAAATATAAAGGGAGTTTCACTAAAACACCCAAAATAGGGGTTGAAATTATAAAAAAACCCAAGCACTATTTAAACATATAAACACACCCAAAACCCATCATTACATACACTCAAAAATCATTTATAAACACACCCAAAAAGTTAACTTTATAGTTGATTTTGGATGTGTTTCTATGTTTAAATAGTGCTTGGGTTTTTTTATAAATACATGTTTAGGATTGGGTTTATTTATAAATTTAAATTCACAACCTAAATAAATAAATAAATTCACAACATCAACTTCTCAAGCATATATAAATTCACAACCTCCTCAACTTTTTAAGCATTCACAAATTAAAGAAAATTAAAGTTACAATTCCAAGCATTCCAATTAAAGTTAAACTTCTCAAGCATTCCAATTCCAAATCCTTTAAAGTTACAAACCAAAACGAAAATGCAATGCAAAATGAATTAAAGTTACAACTCAAAGGAAAAATCAAATTCAAAGTTAATTAAAGTTACAAACTAAAAGAAAAATGCAATGCACCAATGTTACAAACTCAAGTGTTGGTGGTGGTGAGTGGATTTGAAGGACTCCGTTGTGTTGTTTGAGCACTAATGTTATCTACAAAATGCAATTTTTTTATAATTAAAATATAGTTGCGGTTTGCAGTTACCGCAAGTTTTGAAAATCAAATACCGTAACCGCAAGCGCAAATGTGGTTCGGTTCTTCATACTGCAAATGCGGTTCAGTTTCCCGCGATTGTGGTTCCATTGCGATAAATTGTCGGTTAGTTTTTGCGGTTTTTCGATTTTTCGATCTAAAATGCCACCCCTACATGCCGTTACTTGCAAAAATTATGGACAGCTTGGGGGTTGGTTTCATATACATTGACCTGTGAAATGCTCACGCATCACAAGCCAAGCTCCATGATTGAGCATCATGATTTTCTATACTTGGCTTGGAACTCTTACGCCCATATAATAAGAAGACGGTGATTAAGAAAGTGTGTACATGGGATGAGAGAGAGGAATATATTAGGTATTTACCCATTCCAAATATATTAGATATAGTTATTTCAATTATATTCAATATAATGTATTATCCAAATTTGTTACAACTTTCTTATCTCCTTGTTAAAAAATTAAATAAGAAAAAACATTAGTGTTTTTTTCCTTTCTAGAAAGACTCCAACAAATAAGACATACGTAATTAATGGTTTAGAAAAAAAAATCAATAATCAGACTTACCGAATTAATGTTTTGAAAATGCAATCAATGAATTTCCTTTTAAAACAGACCTCTTTAGAATGACGTCTTTTGTCGGTGTAAAAAAATGATATATCTTTTGTGAATTTTTTAAAGGTCATTATTGTGTTTTTTTAACAAAAATACAAAACATTTTCCTGTAAAAAAAATTGGATAAATTAAAAGACAATACATTTAATAAGGGTAAACTTGAAAAACAAAAGGTGGTTTGTTTGATGTATTAATGTCATTGTTTTAAGGGACATTTTGGAAAAAGCAAAAGGAGAGAGAAAAATTTTAAAAAAAGCAAAAATGGACAAAAATGCCCTTATTTATTTTTAGATTTCCTAAGGAATCCAATACATTTGCATGTCTTTGATTTGAAAGTTGAGTGGTTTTTTTGTCTTTTTTGAAAAAGCTTTGGTTTTTTCCAAAAGTGAAATTTTTTTTATGTCTAAAATCTAAAAAACCTTTATTTTTTTAAGTGTATGTGAAGTGACACATGTCATGAGAAAAAGGAAAAAAGTTCAAAAAAAAAGGTTGGAGAGAAAGTCAATTGTCACCTTTTTCACAAACTTGGAATTTTTTTCCGTCTTTCTTATAAAAACCATAGAATTCCAGCTCATAATGCCGTATCATATGCTAAAGCCAACCTGCCAAGGAGCCGCAGACAAACATAATGTGGTACTTTAACTTTGTTCAATGATCAAATGAGAGTAATATAAGTTAACAATAATTAAAATAATTAAAATAATTAAAATAATTAAAATAATAAAATAAAATGAGAACATGGCACACAATTAAATTCATTTTTTGTTTCTTAATTATAAAATGAAAAAACAAAGTCAAATGCGTGGTGTTTTGACACAAAAGACCTCAGTGCAATTATTGGTCGACCACTTATATTTATACAAATTTATAAATAAACCCAATCCTAGACATGTATTTATAAAAAAACTCAAACACTATTTAAACATAGAAATACACCTAAAATCAACCCCAAAATCAACAATTGTATATCTTTTGGGTGTGTTTATAAATGAGTTTTGAGTGTGTGTAATGATGAGTTTTGGGTGTGTTTATAAAGTGTTTTGGGTGTTGAATTTTTTTTATAATTTCAGCCCTCATTTTAGGTGTTTTAGTGAAACTCAAATGTGCTCCTGCTCATGAAGTTTCAATCGGGATTTTCAATAGAACTGGGCCTCCTGAAGATAGTCCTTCGTAAACGCCCGAACTGAGTATCTTCGCCCGTGGGGGTTCTCGTCTCGTCACCATTCATCATTCATGGCGTCTCCTCCTCCCTTAGCAAGCGTGGTGAACCCAATTCGCCACCATATTTGAATAAGGTTGGTTAAAGTTCAAATACAAATCAAACGCAAGTTTCCTAATTTTGGCCGTTGGGTGTTTCTCGTAATTATGGCTCTAGAATTTATCGGCGGGCAACTGCTTACGCTGCTCCACGATGGCGTTAAGCAAGCGATGAGCAAGAGTGGCACCTTTAAGTCCCTTCTCGGAGAGCTCAAATCCACGCTGGACTCTTTGGTACCAAGAGACATCCAACAAATTCGGGAGCATAACGTCGAATTGGGTCTCCCAAACGAGGAAATCGAAAGTCTTAAAGAGCTAATGGAGGAAGGTGTAAAGCTCGTTGACGAGTTCTCAAAATTTCGCATGTGGAACTACTGCTGCTTAGATGATTACACTGAACAAATTGTTGAATTGGATAGGGCTCTTAAAAGCTTGTTAAGAAAACTGATAATTCAAGAACAAAGGGATGTGAAGGAGCTCTTGGTTTTGGCTAGGGAAAACCGAGGCAACCTCGATGAACTGAAGAGAATGGTGTTGGGTATGCTGAATTTAATGCAGGAGAGTGCAGGGGATGTCCTGGAGAACTTTGCATCAGGAAGTAATACGAAGACGGTGACGGAGCAAATTCAAGGGAATGGTGTGGAACAAGGTGACTTCATTGTTTCTTGAGTTTTGTGTTTTGTGTTGCTCAGCACCTTTGATATCCATTTTAGTTTTTAATTTTCAGTTTTATGTCAAATTGAAAACATGTTGGTAATTGAAAGGGCTTCTTAGATGTAGGTCCAAAACGATGGGCTTTCAAAATTATGGAAGTTAGAGTTTGCGCGTGACTTTTCCCATTTGTATTTTCTTTTCTTTAATGATCACCGAAAATGTAAGAAAAAGTTGAGTACTTTGGTATTGCTTGGTTTGACTTGATTCTGTTCTTGGGTTCGAAATTTGTATTAGGTGTCTCTAACTTTTTGGTTTCTTCACATTTTCTTAAGATTGAGACAATTACGAGTTTTCTGATTTCGGTGGTGTTGTAATTATGCAGTGACATCGTTCAACGGAGGGACTTCTCTAAAAGCAGACTTTGTTGCGTTGTTTGAGGTCGTTATAGAAGTGAAGGACAAAACTAGGATATTTAAACCCCTCCTCGGAGGTCTTGAATCCACGCTAGAGTTCTTAAAACCACTGATCGAAGAGATTGCAGAACATAACAAGGTATTAGATCGCCCAAAGGAGGAACTCGAAAATCTTAGAATACAAATGGGGAAGGGTGTAGAGCTCATCCGTAAGTGCTCCAAGGTTTATTTGTGGACTAGCTACAAACAATGTGAATACACTGACAGACTTCTGGTATTGGATGAATGTCTCCAAAGAGAGCTAAATATATTGAAAGGGCAGGTAGCAAGAGATGTGAAGGAGACCTTGGTTTCAATAAAAAATATAGAGGCAGTGATCAAGAAATTTGAAGGAAGTGGTGTGGTGCAAGCTCACATTCAAACTAAAGGTTGGGGTGCATCACCTGAACCTTTATCGCCAGCAGTTGGATTAGATGTAGTGAACGCGCAGGCACCAAGGGATGCGAAGGAGGCATTGGTTTCGGTCAGGAATACAAAGGCAGTTGTTGAGCAAATTAAAGGGAGTGGCGTGGTACAAAACCAAAGTAAGTTTGCAGTACTTCAACGTCCATTGCTTATAATTAGATGGTTCTTTCTATTACCAAATTGGACACTTTTACATCTTCTCTCTCACTAAGAATATTTCAAAATGGGGCCTGCTAAAATAAAGATGCCTGACCTATAAAAAAAAATACAGATGAGTTTCCATAACTTTTCTTCATCGTTGACTTGAATCTGTCGCTAGGAGTTTGCATATTACCCCCCAAAACCCAAAACAGGATTTTATCTCATTGCTCCAAAATCAAGCATACTTTTCAACGCTCTAGAGTGATTGTATCTTACAATTATAGTACGTAAGCATTGCCTTAGACTTTCAATTTTCTTCCATATATTATTTTTCTTGCACATCTGTTTTCTGCACTTATTTAATTTCCTTGTTGATCTTTTAACATTCTTCTTCAAGCTCTTGAGCCGAGAAAATTAACAATGGCAGAAGATGGAAATGCAATCGGGATCGATCTGGGCACAACATATTCGTGTGTAGCGGTGTGGCAGAAGGATCATGCAGAAATCATAGCAAATGATCAGGGTAAAAGGACAACTCGATCTTATGTTGCATTCACTGAAAGTAATAGGTTGGTAGGCGATGAAGCATTCAACCAAATCCTGAGAAATCCGGCCAACTCAATCTTCGGTAAGAATATCAATAAATTGTTTTCTCTTAAAGTAATTGGATTAAAAGACAAGTCATATCAACTTATTGATATTCTTACACCATTGTTTTTAACTTTCCAGATAATAACCATTTTACCCAGTGGTGTTATATTTTATGCAACTTTTCATATTTTCCGGCGTTTTAATTTGTTAGTTCAAGCTTGATCTGACACTAAATTGCAATATATATTATTTGATTGATTCCTAATATGGAGATTTAAATAGTTAAATTGTTTCATGCTAGAAATATTTTAAACTAAAATTAACTTGAAGTCAACTTGCAGATGCAAAGCGGTTAATTGGTAGGAGATTCAGTGACGTCTCTGTTCAAAGTGATGTGAAGCTCTGGCCATTCAAGGTGATTGAAGATCCTAGTGGCAAGCCCAAGATTGTGGTAATGCACAAAGGTGAAGAGAAAAAATTTACTGCTGAACAAATATCATCCTTGGTTCTCAGGAAGATGAAGGAGATTGCGGAAACATACCTCTGCTCAAATGTGAAAAATGCAGTTATTACTGTGCCGTCGTACTTCAACGACTCGCAACGTCAGGCTACAATGAATGCCGGTGCCTTGGCCGGCTTAAATGTGCTGGGTATTATCAACGAACCAACGGCTGCAGCCATTGCTTATGGCATTGACAAGAAGGTTGGTTGGTATAAGAAGAAGCATGTGATGATATTTGATTGGGGCGGTGGCACTTTAGATGTGTCTCTGCTTATCATTGGACAACATGGTGTGTTTGAAGTGATGGCCACTGCTGGAGACGCACACCTTGGCGGTGAAGAGTTGGATAACAGAATGGTGAGTTACTGTGTCCAAGAATTCAAGAGAAAACATCAATTGGACATTAGTGGAAACTCCAGAGCTCTTAGGAGGGCCAAAACTGAGTGTGAGAAGGCAAAGAAGGCACTGTCATATTCGTTTGAAACCGATATTGAAATTGACTGTTGGTACCAGGGTGAAGATTTTTATGCAAATTTTTCCAGGAAGAAATTTGAGCAAATGAACATGGATATCTTCAACAAGTGCATGGAGCCAGTGAAAAAGTGTTTGAAGGATGCCAAAATGGACATAAGCGATGTCGACGATGTTATTCTTGTTGGTGGCTCTTCAAGAATTCCAAAGGTGCAAGAGCTATTGAAGGAGGTTTTCAACGGTAAGGAGTTGTGCAGGAACATTAATCCGGATGAGGCTGTGGCATATGGAGCGGCTGTTCAAGCTGCAGTCTTGACAGGCAATGTAACAGGGAAGCTTCAAGACTTCAGTCTCTTGGATGTCATTCCTATGTCACTTGGGGTGCAGAAGATTGAAAGCACGGGTGATAAAAATGCCATGCAATTTGTGATCCGAAGAAACACGAGAGTTCCCGTGGTGAAGAAGATGACTCTAGTTACTGTCTATGACAACCAACGTAGTATCAGATTCGCCATTTATGAGGGTGAGAGCACATCAACGGTAAATAATAACTATTTGGGTGAATTTAGCCTTGATGACATTCCTCCCGCTCCCAAAGGTGTTCCTGAGTTTAATGTTTGCTTTGATATTGACTCAAATGGAATCTTGAGAGTCTCCGCTGAGGATATGCTGACTGGCCAGAAGAAAGGGATCACAATCAATCGTACCGAAGAACGCTTGAGGGATTTGAGAATTAAAGATGAGAGAGGTAAGAAATGATAATTTTTAGTGTCCAAGTACTATATGTATCTGTTTGTACCTGGATTTTTACACCCAGGGCCTTTGAATCAAAATTTTGGTGGAGAAGGCAGTGGACGGGAGCTCCTTTTGCTGGCTGGTTGTCCGTTTTGTGATAGCTGGTGTTTTTATATGGGTACAAAGGACATGTTTTCTTTTTCTTTCTTTGTAAAATATTTGACGAATATTTCACCCAAAACAAAAAAAATTGTTTGACGTAACCATGGTGTTATGGTAATGCTTGAATCAGTAGAAGATTATAGTAGATTGGATTGGAACTCAAACTCCAAGCTGTTTGTTTGGTGACAAATGAGGACGGATTCACTGTCTGGCAAAAACAAATTGTTTGATACATCTAGCTAATCTGAAACCCTACAAATTAAAGCTGACGGAAACTAATGCAGCAAAAACATAAACGTGAATTGCATTAAGTCGATGCGATTTGTGGAGTATCATATAATATTATTGGCGCTAGGTAAGTCACTAAATAGTCACCGTTCTAGCGACAGTAATTTCAGTATCACCAAAAAGAATTTGTGACAAGTTTATATATTGACCACTCAATAACTAACATTATTTGGTCACTACATTAGTTTTACGTACTTTTAGTGACCATTCTGTTGGTCACTAATGTCAATTTTTTTCTTGTAGTGCGGATTTGTAATTTAATAGGGCACAAACCACCATTTTAGGTCTAATGTATTTTCGGAGATGAACTTCCTATTTTCGGGGCCCCGGTAAAAATCGATCAAACGTAAATGAATAATCATCTTAGTCGTTTTTCTAGAACAAATAGACAGGCGGATGAGAACACTATGAAGATTATTATGATAATCAAATAGCTAGTTGACCTCTAATTTGATGAGCAAAGATCCTACGAAACAGAAGCCTAATTAATATATAGAAATATTAATTATTTAAATGGTCCATATAAAAACCAACTCCAACTATACTTTTCATTCTACGAAAGTTTAATATGTGGTACTTATTTGTTAGAAACAGAAATTTCTTTACGGATTAAATTATAACAAATTGTATCTTTGGTACACAATTGAAACACACGGCAAAACCAAGCATGAAAGTTTATAGGATGAATCATAATAGTTGGAGCCCATCCAGGTCTGGGTTGTGGTTAAGGCTTAAAGGTGCCATCCATAGTTGGAGCCCATCCAGGACCACCTCGTGGTTCAGACCAAAAAAAAAAAAAGTTTATAGGATGAATCATAATGACAACTACCCCATCAGCCATTGAAGAGACCACTAGCTACCGAAGCTACAGCACTTGCAAAGGCCCAACAGCTATTGAAATCCTCTATTGCTTTCATTACAACCTCCTGAAATAATAACAACTACCCCATCTGAATGCTGTAGAATTTAAACATGGAGAATATGTAACATTGGATTACATTATATATATATATATATATATATATAGTGAACTCACACTAGATCGGCTAACTTGATACCAGACACCCAATCCCAGCACAAGACATGTTAGTAGGACGAACCGGCTGTCTTTGAGGTAGATGAAGGCCAATTTTGCCTCTGATAAGCCGAATGTCCTTGTACTGGACTGAGAAGAGTTTGGCTGCACCAACAAAACGCTTCAACTGTAATGATAAGTTATGGAACCAAATATATTTTACAGACCAAGATTTATTAAGTTTGGAAAAGATTAGATCCAGCTTGACTTACTTGATTGGACTCGGAAGATTCTGGCTACATGCATCAACAAATAGCTTCAGCCATTTTGATTTCTTACATACATATGCTATTTAACCAACTTAAGAAGAGAGAGAGGGAGAGAGAGAGAGAGAGAGAGAGAGAAACTAAATGAATCGATGATAAGTTGAATGTTACCTGATTTTGTGTTGGTATTAATGGTGTTGTGCCCCTGGAATTGAGCAACAAATAGAAAAGAGTTTTAAATTCCTGAAAATTCAACTTGCCATCTCTGTTAGTATCGAGCTGCTGGAAGGGGATCCTATAAGAGCTGCCATAATAAAACTGCTGGTATTCGATGAGGGTTATTGTCCCATCACCATCTAAATCCATTGCTTCAAAATCTTCCCATGCCTTATCCTTTTGCTCCTCTGACAAATTATCAAAACAAGCTAAAGCAGCCTCCCGTGTTTCTTCCATCTCTCTCTCTCTCTCTCTCTCTCTCTCTCTCTCTCTGTAGCAGAAGCTATTAGATTTCTGTTAATTTATTTTTATGTGAGTGGGGGAAAATCAAGTATACTTTTCAACGCGTTTAGGGTGCCCCTCCACATTTCATAAAATTAAAAAATATCTTTACCATTATTGTATTTACGTATTGACTTAGACTTTGCACACCGACATATTGGTGGTGTCTAGGGGTGGCGCGATCCAAATTGGATTGGTTTCACCTCAAAATCAAGGCCGAATCAATTATAATATAATAATTTAGTTTAGTTTAGTTCGGTTTTTACAAAAGTAATGAAGAAAATCAAATCAAATCGAACCAATTTAAAATAGTTTGGTTCGGTCAATTTGGGCCAAAGCTCAATTCTCTTTCCTTTTATATTTTTGCAACATTGTTAAGTCCAATTACAACCAATAAATTCACAACTTGCTTCATATTTAAATCATTTTCAACAACTATCCATATATAGTTATTACCTAATTAGAGTATTACACATGTATAATAAATAAATATATGCATAAACGGTCTAATTTGGTTTAGGCGGGTTTACAAAAGCTCAAAACCAAACTAAACCAAATTAATTTTTAAACCGTTTGACTTTTTCTTAATCAAAATCAAACAAAATCGGTAATTACAATTTAAATCAATCAGGTTGGCCAGATTAATGTCCACCCCTAGTGGTGACCAGGCCGTTGGCCTCTTAATTATTTTCTTCACATCAAGACAAACGACCCAGCTGCAAATTGCATTTACTATTTATTTATATGGTCACGATCATATTTGATTATTTTTTTCAAAAGGAATCAGAAACGAAGTTGCTGAGACTTTGCATTACTTTTTGAAAAACCCTGGCAAAGAAAAAGCTAGAAAGGGAGATGAAACGAAGTGCGGGCCAAGAAATTTCCTATAGTTTGAGCTATTGTCCAATCTAGTTATAAGAGTCCAGACATTTTTAGGGTCTAACTTTAAATAGCCCAAAGTTACCAGTATGATATTAGATAAGATATGGAATATGACAAACAAGAATACGAGGCCATGGTAACTGGGTAGTGTTTTCAAGAATGTTTCATGAACAAACATAAACCCCGAAACATCTTTAACCTTCAACTTTCTAATGCCATCAATCCAAAATCACCAGAACCCTGTTAAGGCTCTGTCTAACGAAAGACTGCACATGAAGTTCAAGAGTTCTTCCTTAACTGGCTTTCATTTCAGGTGCTAGTCTGCTAGTGCATGTTGAGATTTCAATTAGAACTTGCACACACAATGCATCAGCTCACACAAAACCAGATGAATCGAAGAAAACAGAAAAATGCAGAGAAAGAATGGCAACTCAGTAATGCTCAAAGGTTCGTTGCTATGCACAAGACATGGCAGTGCACAGTACTCTCATTTCTAACGGAACCATTCCTTTTTACAATGCTGAGAATGTGATTTCAGCCTTACAATTGTGTAGACAATGAAATTTTGGTGTAATAAATCTCATTGGACGAGAAAATAATTAGGGTTTGGTGGATTAAATTGTGGGCCCCATAATTCGCCCATGTGGCATGTGATTCATCAAAATTGGATTAATTGTCAAAAAGGTGACACGTGGCGACATCCGACGGAATGCATCAAACGGTTCAAGATGAAGACAAAATTAAGGGAAAGAATCTTCTGTGATTGACTTGATTTAAATCAAATA